CATTAGGTGAACATTGAAAATAGGGTCAAACATGGGTAAACAGATCTTGTGACAATAATCATTATTATTATTATTATTATTATTATTATTATTATTATTATTATTATTATTGGTAATAATAATAATAATAATAATAATAATAATAATAATAAGAAGAAGAAGAAGAAGAAGAATCTTAATATTATTCAGAAACATCTTATTAGTACATTATTATTATTATTATTATTATTATTATTATTATTATTATTATTATTATTATTATTATTATTATGAAGGAAACATTTCTGTGGTAATATTCTCCATATTTAAACATGTTCTGTATTATTTAAGAAAGAAAAAAAGACGTGTTAGGGGAGATCCAGGAAAAAAATTCCTTGAAAAAAGCCTAGAGGAACCTTGAAAACTCTTAGAAACATTTGATCTAATCAGTATTATAAAGAAGTATCTAAGAAACATTTAGAAAGTGAAGAGTCACTTGTCATATTATTGACTCGATGTTTATCTATCCTGATATCACGTTAAGTAGGGTTCCAGAACCTTTCAGAAGTTCAGAGCCATCTAAAATGTTGTAAATACTCTAAATTTTCCGTATATACACGAATCTTGGAGTAAAGCATTCTTTAATATATTTCACTCTTGTTGTATGGAGTCATCCTATAGTTATTAGAAGAGACTAGGTAACCGATTCAAGCATTCAATCAAAAGATTTACCAAAAAGAAAAGAAAAGAAACATGAAATGTGTAAATAATTTAAAGTATATTTATCGAACAGAATAAGAAGAGACTGTAATATGTGTAATACAATTTATTTATTTGAATACATCGATATTAATATAAAGGGGAACCGAATACATATGCATGACACAAATCATTTTATTTGTGTATTGGGCTGTGGTACTGTTCGAGTGCTTAGACCGAAACAAGTGGTTTTATTAGGATGCCACACACAGAAACTTCGACCTATAGGTCTGATCTGCAAGGCAGTGGAGAAACTTCACGAGATGCAGTCCCATGGTAGCCGGTGTCCAACGATTGGTTTTTACGCCATTTTTCCTCTCAGGATCTTGGAGTTCATGCGCACCATAGGTTTGGAATAAGGGTTTTCCAACTCTCCTAGATGGACTTTCCAAGTCCACCAACCCGGTTAAAGAGCCGGACATTCACTTTTTCTTCCTCTCAATTTAGTAAACAACACCCGTGTGGCGAGAATGCACTGAGTAGGAGCTTTCTAGCAGTGAATGTATACGCGTGGCCATATAAGAGCATTTCTAGAGGGAGAGCTAACCCTCGGACGTACCAGGGCATTGGTGGGCATGTAATACACAAAGAATTAGGAATATATCATTCATTTAATATGACTTGATATAAGAATAAGAGCTTATGCTGTGATAGTTTTGAATGATACGATGGAAGTTCATCAGAATTGTAAAGAATTATCGTCATGTATCGAATTGTAAGAGTCATATACACGTGATGAATATTTGAAGTAGACATTCTTAACAAGAAACTCTGAATTTATGTAAAAGGTAAAAAAAGAGTGTGTTGAGTTTAATTCTTCTCTATCTGATTCTAATATAAAATGTCCAGTCCTCCTAGTAGTACTATGAATTTACTTGAGAATATTCGGGAGCTAGAAACAGTGTTTTTTAGTAATTAATAAAAACCATAGCTACGAAAGAGTCAATCACATTGGGCAGTGAGTGATTGAGTGAGTATATGTGCAAAACGTCGAAATATCTATAGGTAATTTCAATAGTTGGGATGATGAGTGAATTAAAGCTAGACCACCATAAAAAGCCTGGAAGCACAGGATGGTCGTTTCGCCTTATTAAGGGACTCCATGATCTCGACCCATGAGATCCGAATCCTCGATGTTCTAGCTTCAATTGACTCATGATCTTAAGTATTGAGATTACTATAATATCCACAAAAACCCCTTCTGATATGTATATGTATTGCATGAGTGTTAATCAATTGTTGGTAAGTTGTTGATTGTTTATGTTTACAACTAATGGGAAGATTGAGGTGAAGGTATACTGTGGGTTTACTAAAAGAGAGTAAGAATGATCTCAAATGTCAGGGCATCAATCATGACAACATTAGTAGTAATAAATATGGACATTGATGAACTTTTAATGTTTAACTTAATAATTGAATTCATGAGTCAATTGAAACTAGACCACCATGGAAAACCTGGAAGTACTGGAAGGCCGTTTCATCATAGTTTGGGACTCCACTTCAGTGCGCATCCGCCAGATTCGAACCCATGACCTATCAGTGAAGAAATTTCAAAGGTTCTATTTCTCTTACAGCCCATTAAATAGGTTTTCATGAAACTGGTTATCTTTATGACATACATAGATACCAGACATTGTTTGTGTGGATCTTTGATAACTATACTGATATTCAATAGACGACATAGATCACTTACGGACAGAAATTAATCAATGGAACTTTTAAACTGGATTTTAGTTTTACGGTGACGGAGGCTTGATAGGGGTCTGTGAACAATAAGATAGTGAAAAATCTATGCGTAAGGAGATAGAAAAGCGATAAACAACTACGAAATATGGAAGGACTTGTTAAGTTTGTTTTTTTTCATTCATATCCAACCAAGGAAGGCTCAAGGTTATCATGAATTTCTTTTCAACACATAAACCAGAGTTATAGTTTCTGATCCTGGGAGTTTCTGCTCTGTTTAAGAAACAACATCAAACCCGATTAGGAAGTGACGAAAGTAAACGACAGATCAATTAAAACGATTTGATTTTATCTATTTTATGATCACTATCAACAAGTTATATCTTTTAATTCTGTCAATCAGAGATAAAATTAATGGTTTTATTGTGATGTAACTCTTCATGAAATGAAGACGTTACAACAAATAGCGTTACTTTTGTGAAGGATTTTTAAAAATGATAATTAAAGTGTGAATCGTACATGGAGGACAGTTGACAGACTCGTTAGAAGTAAAGACCGGTGTCAGGCAAGGTTGCCTACTCTCACCCTTTCCCTTCCCCTTGATGATCGAATAGATTATGAAAATGTCAACATCTAAGGGAAGTATGGAATATAGTGCACACCTAAGATGCACCCGGACTTTGCCGATGATCTGGCTCTTCTGTCGTACATGCAACAATAAATACAGGAGAAGAAGACCAGTGTAGCAGCAGACTCAGCAGCAGTGGGTTTCATCATAAATAAAAGGTAAATCAAGATTCTGTGACACAACACAACATGCACCAATCAATTGACGGAGAGGCTTTGGAGGATGTTAACACCCTTTACATATCAGGGAAACATCCTTGATGAGAAAGGTGGATCTGATGAAGATGTGTAGAGAAGGATCAACAAAGCAAGAGCAGTATATCTACAATCGAAAACATCTAGAACTCAAAACAACTGTCATCCAACACCAAAGTCAGAATTTTCAATACAAATGTCAAGACAGCTCTACTACGACAGCCATCATCTAGAAGATACAAGTGTTTATTAACAATTGTCGGATCCGTTGGCCATACAATATCAACAGCAACCTACTGTGGGAGGGAATAAACCATATACCAGTCGAAGAAGAAATCTGGATGTGGATAGGACATACATTGAAGAAATCATCCGACTGCCTCATAAGGTTTGCCCTCACATAGAATCCTCAAGTTCAAACGAGTTTAGGAATACCAGAGAATAAATTACATGAGAAGAATGAACAAAAATTGGATAGAAGTAGGAAGGAAGGTGCAGGACAGAGTGGATTGGAGAAGGCTGGTCGGCGGCCAATGCTTCACTAGGAGTAACAGTTGTAAGTAATTGAAATTTCTAAAAATAACTATTTCAGTTTATTAGTCAATGAGAATATATATTTGAGCGCATTTATTTTTCAAATCGTTTTATTTATACCTTCTGATAATAACTGAAGACTAGTTAGTGTTTATATCTTGATAGCTATTCATCGTAACAGAAGTTCAGGAGTATTTCAGCTGTTGATAATTTAAAGCCCACTGATATGTGGATATGCACTGCTGAGGAGTCCTACAATAAGGACAAAACGGCCGTTCAATGCTTCCAGATTTTCCATAATGATCTAGCTTCAATTGACTCATGATCTCAACTATTGAAATTACTATATTATACACAACACACCCCTTCTGATATTAATCAACATATGCTCACCAGTGACTGGCTTCAATTGGTATTTCCTGTAGTTCTAGTGAAAAGTACTGATCAGTGAAGTTCAAACGGGTCTATTGTGAGATAGTAACACACTGAAAGCAATGGTAGATGTGTCGCCCAATTTCATGAACTAGTTGAAGTTAGACATTAACAACATTGAATCCCGGTCGACTCAGTGGTCTAGTGGTTAAGCACTCGAGTGCGAGACCAATAAGTCGTGCGTTGGAATCTTGAGATATGGGATCAAGGATATGTACTGTTGATGAGTCCCATACTAAAACGAGTTGGCCATCCAGTGCTTCCAGACTTTCAATTCACTAAAATATAAACAACCCCTAACCCCCGTCTCCTTCTGATGATATATCTATATAAGATTATCTATTCGATAGAATCCTAATCATAAATTTCACATGTGTCCAAAATTTAGCATAATAAAACTTATATGAAAAAGAAAATTTTCATTATTTTTCCAAAAATAAGTTTCATTATTTTCATCCATGTTGTTTTTATTGATAAAAGTACTAAACTTTTAAGATAATTTGACTGAGAATCACAAGATTCTCAAGTGTTAAAATAATAAACCAATAATGTAATTCATTAATTAATTACATCATTCATACTTTTGAGTATATAAATGAAGTAAGTAATGATGACAAAACAACTACTACTCCGATTACTACCACTGCTACCTCTACTCCGACTACTACTACTGTTACCTGTACTACTACTACTACTACTATTACTCCGACTACTACTACTGCTACCTCTACTCCGACTACTTCGAGTACTTTTACTACTAATATCATAGACTAATACTCTATTCAACGAAAATGATATTCTATTTATCATTTCTATGTTTCATTACTTTATTAGATTTGACATATTCTGAATATGTTTGTCAAATTATGCCAAATATTACAATGGTAAGTATTCAACAACAAAAAATATTATGATGAGACTATCATTGATGGATAATCTTTTAACGATACTGAAGTGACATTGAGAGTGAACATCTACTAATTAGAATTAAATAAGGGTTATAAATCAGTTAGAATTCTCATTTACAGTTGATGGTCAGGATTAAAAATTAGATTGTGGTTACATCACTAACTAACATCAGTTATAATGCCAAAACTCTATTTTGTCAAATGTGTATGAATGAATTTCGCGCCTGAATTCATCACTCATGATCTTATATTTAATTGGTTCATCCATAAATTATAGTCTGGACAAAATTATTTCAGAAAAGTTTTTTTTTTCTATTTTTTTTTGTTTGTTTGTAGAATTTCGGGATCTTGGGTGAACCAATTGATAAACGTCAATATGGGGGCAATCAATTGAGATTTATTGTTATATATAGGCCAACTATGGAAAGGCATCCTCTGTTTCAACAATTCAAGGTATCATTGATTGGTTTTATATTCTTATTGTGTTTTTAAAAATTATATAATGTATTATATGCTCATTGTCATACTTGCTTTAAATTAGTTTACATTGAGTCATGGTTAATTATTTACATACTAACCCTTGTTACTTCCAATAGAGCATAGGCCGATGAACACAATTTCCCATTCCCCTCTATCTTAAACATTCCTTTCTACTTCTATCCAGTTGTTGTTCATTCTTTTTATATATCTCTCCATTTCTCGGTGTAATGTGTTCCTTGGTCATCTTTGGCTATGAGAATTCCAAGTGAGGGCTTGACTTGTGACGTAGTTGGGTGATTTTCTCTATGTATGTCCTATTCACTTCCAGTGATCCTTCTTGATTTATTCTTCCGCTGGAATGTGATTTGTTCTCTCCCATAGTAGGTTGTAGTTGATAGTGTTTGGTCAACGAATCCGAAGTACTTTGCATAGACAATTGTTAAAAAACACTTGTATCTTCTGAATTATGGCTTTCGTAGTTCTCCAAATTTTTGATCCATACAGTAGAACTGTCTTGACATTTGTATTGAAAATTCTGACCTTGGTGTTGATTGACAGTTGTTTTGCTATGTAAATTAACCATTTAGTGTATCGAAAAATTCAACGAAAATGTAAATTTCTGTTAGCTATCTGTTCTAGTCATCAATAAAATGTAATTTAATAGTCAAATTCATGATCCAATTGAAACTAGATCACTATGGAAAAATTGGAAGCACTGGACGGCCGTTTCACCCTAGTATAGGACTCTTCAGCAGTGCGTATATTCGAACCCAGGACCTAACTCATATATTTATAAGTTAATTTTGAGACCCTAATTGTGAATGTTGAATCTGTTGAATCGGTATTGAGAAACATTTTATAAAACTTAGTTAACATATTTGGTAAGGTTTAGTTAATTAATGTGAGGAATCATTGGATGACATTTTTTCACTGTATACAAGGAATAATCAATGAATATACTTTGCGTTGTATCTACAATGTTAATTGACCATCAATCAGGATCACTTGCCGGTTTTTGGATAACTTAGAAGTTATCCTTTCCGCAGTAATTACGTGTTTTTAGTGAAAATACATTAACTCTTTCATTATCTTTAATAATTTTCTGCATTCGTTTAGACTCAGATAGTAGAGAAAGCCCTTAGTTTTTGGCAAAATACATTAAGCGTTAGAAAACCACCAAATAGGAAATTACTCATTGAAAGGTAAGTAGATTGTTATTGGGATTTTATTGTGATTAATTTTCCAACAATAAACTTTTTAAACCAATATCTTTTCATTATTTAGAAGCCAATGTTCCATATAATTAAGGCTATTAGGACTTAGTAGTTAAGTGAATGACGCGATAGCGTTTGAGGCGAGCGGTACTATGGGTTCGCGTCCTCGAGTGGGATGCAGGTACATCTAGCTGACCAGTCCCAAATAAGACGAAACATGAGTCCTGGATTTCATTGCTAGCCGATATCCATCATTACTTATAAAGTATGCGACTTAAGGCAATATCAAGGCAATTCGCACAGGATGAACATATGCCAACATAAGACTGATCAATTGCAGTCCTAAATAACAATGGGAAGATACAAATAAAAAACACCAAATGAAGTTAAGATTATTTGTTTAATAAAACATCTATTTATATACGTGCAGTAAACTTTAATCGATATTTTGGAATGGTAGTAGAGATAATATTGATAGTTCTACATTGACGTTAACAATATTAGCAAACCTACTTGTAATTTAATAGTTGAATTAGTCAATTGAAGCTAGCATAGCAAAGCATCAGTACAACTCCTTCTTTTTGATGGCCTGAGTATAACAGCAGCTCCCCTGAAGCTAGACGCCGTTGTCCAACCTCCGCCTAATGTGTTTCCCTAATTTCAAGCACCTCCAGGTCGTAACTCTTCATTTCTGCAGCAACTTGGATGACTTTCCTGGTCTCTCACATTCTACGAACATTCCATGTGCCTAAGTGAATGGTTGATCTGGTTGTCAGAAGGGCCGCCAGCCTCATGATTTCAGAAGGAACTCGGCTTGCATCACTAGGCATCATAACTCTCCTAACTCCCAGGGTAGATGTTAAACGGTCTAAATAATTTTATTTGGTTGGTGTTTTTTAGCGAGTTATTTTTATACGGGGTGGTGTTGCTAACCCTATACCCAATCCTCCTGCATTATCCGGGCTTGGAAACTGCAGTAACCTCAGAGGAGCTCCAGGCGTAGTTCGATTAAAGCTAAACCACCATGAAAAATCTGGAAGCACTGGACAGCCGTTTCGTTCCAATATGGGACTCCTCAGAAGTACGCATCAACGATCCTGCCCCACAAGATTCGAACTCAGGACCTGCCAGTCTCGAGCGCGAACCCTTAACCTCTTGACCACTGACACTAATTGCATCCCAAAGTATTCTGCGTTGAAATATAGATACTTACATTTGATGTTATGAATTTTCTGTAAGTTATAGTAAAACACGTCTTCTCTACCGCACTGTATACAGAAACTAAAACTGTATTTACATCACAAGTGGTAATGATTTTAATAATACAAAGTAAGTTAACTTCAAATTTTATTGTACATAAAATAAGCCTATTAATAACATTATTACAGTATCTACTTTAAAACAATCTCGAGCTAAAGTTTCATAATCCGATCTTCCACATTCACAGCTACATTTGTCTAAATCTTCTACAAATGTTGTTTCATATTTAATGGTAAGATGTGGTGTTTTTGATTTGTATATAAACCCAATATGTTTGAAATACATGATTCATATCGCAGAGGCTGAGATTGGTGTTCTGGACGTAAAAGACATGGCTAGACAGGAAGCAGGACCGATAAGGACTCTAGACTACTCGTAAAGGTTTTATGCGTGATTGGTCTGGTCGATAATTCACTGTTATCTAATTGGCGGTATCATTAGGTTATACACTGATAGGGGCAAAAACGCACAAGTTATAACACTTTCTTTCTTGACAATTATAATAAATATAGACCTTTTTACTATGCTTACTGATTATTTTACAAAATATGTATTAATTATTATTTTTACAGAGGATGCGCTGAACCAGTCTTTTACACAGATGGTAGAACAGGTAAAAAGTTCTGTAAATCACAATGTAAAAAACAAGCTCTATGCTATGATCATCCAGTTCCAGATCAATACTCTTCCGTAAGTTTATTTCATACCAATTATAACCATATATACAAATTTCACATTAAAATCGGTACATGAATCTCATATCAGCCAATACTCTACTGGGAGTAACAGATTTGTTTATATAAACACATGAACATTGGTACAAGGGAGCATCAAATAGATATGCGCAACGTAAGCAACGTAAAAAGTTGGAGTCACATAGTAGTCGATAAACAATAATTGGTTTATACGCCATTCGTTTCCTCAGGATCCTAGATCCCATGTGCACTATTGGTTTGAAATCAGGGTTTTCCAACTCTACTAGGTGGATCCACGATATTCATTAACGCGGTTAAAGAGCCGTAAATTCACTTTTCGTCCTCTCAATTTTGCTTCCTTGGTTGTAGTTGTATGCACGTGGCAATGTGAGAGAATTGGGAGAGGGAGAACTGACTTTCCCCACTCCCGGCCTTACAAGGGCATTTAGGGGCCGGGGATTAACAAGCATAAATAAGTAAGTACGTAATCCCATATCATGATCAGTGACATCAAAATAGGATGAAATAAGATTTTCTATTTCCTATTGTTAATTACTTTCAGAGTTTCCAATCTAGTAAGCATCTGTGTAATTTTTATGAGAGATATCTTATAAACATTTCAAATGTTTTTCTCTCTATTTTAAATAACAGGGATGTGCTGTGGGAAGTGGAGGTAACGATATAAGAGATGTTTATCAAGATGGTCCAGGATTCGCACCAAATGAATATGTTCTTTTTGTTGAAAGTGAAAATAAACAAGGTTGTCTATCTGGGTCAACATTAGCTTATGCTGGTCCTTGTGAAATGCATCCTACAACTGATAGGTAAGAAAATGTATGATTTATAATATGAAGTTTTTTTTTAAAAATGTGTTATTCATCAGTGTAAAAGTATATTGTGTTCCTCAATACATCTGATCATCAAAAACTAAGCAGTCTTGATAGAGATTTTAACAATCATATATACTTATATATACAAACTAGTATCGTATACTTGTTCAAATGTGAGACTCAGTCAGTCAACAACAACAACATGAAACTTCGTACGTGAGTACATCAGTTCAAGATGGTATACCACACTAGCACAGTGATACAATTGTTGTTTCGAATCCCATAGTAGTAGAGGTAGTAAGAGTATAAGCAGTAATTGGAAAGATTAGGGTTTGAAAATGTTATCCAAGGAGTATAATTCAGTGAAATAAATTTGGAAAGAGAAGAAAAATGGGGACATGAAGAATTCAGGAGGTTAGAATTTGAGAGAACATAAAGAGGGGATGGACGTGAGTCATTGCAAACGATTTTGAGCCATGTCATTAAAGGTCTCTAACCATCGGTTGCTATCGTCTCGCAGATCCCCAGAACCAGTTAGTTTACACTTACTAACATGGTTCAGTCCACTTGTCACTCACTTGTTGGATTTGTGCCATATTTTGATCTGGCCAGCCCTAGCTGTTTTCTTCACTATCTCTGTCTTATCTTGAACTAGTTCATATAACATATTACATATAAATGTATTTGTATATTTTTTGTGTTTAAATTCCAGACCGATTATGGGTTCAATCAATTTCTGTCCTCAAAAAATGGAAATTCAAGAACCAGGAAAAACAATGTTAGTTGGCACAGCTATACATGAATTAGGTCATGCGTTGGTAAGTCGTCATACTGTTGATAAATATATATTAGACATGAAGATATCTGTTGAGTTGAAGTTTTAATTTAATAAAGTTAAGACTCGATAGTTTAAAATAAATTAAGCATTGAGTAGATTGTAACTGATCTAAAATGATTTTGGTTTCGTAATTTCTCGATCATTAAAAGAAATAATTATCAGTATGAGGTTAAGCGTTTGCACGCAAGACCGAAGACCCTGGATTCGAATTCCGCGAGCGGGATCGTGGATGTGCATTGCTGAGAAGTCCCACAATAAGACAAGTTGGCTGTCCAATACTTCCACGTTTTTCGTGGTGTTCTAGCTTCAATTGACTAATGACCTAAACTATGAAAATTACCATAGTATCCACAAACCCCCCTATTATAGTTAACTTTACTCCTTAAAATGATAGTCTATAATAAAATAGAATAGTGATGAATAATTAAATGGAAATTTGTAATGGTATCTTGTTATGAATGGCTGATAAAATATCAGATTATTCAAAGGAAATTATGTAATAACTGGCTAATTTGGAGATAATCGTTCAAATGGTAGTTATCAAGAAGAAAATTATAAAAAGTTGTTATCATAGTTGGTTAATTAAGGGTTATGAAAGTAGTTGGAAAGAGATAAAAAATACCCTATGGATCATGGGAAAAGGAAGGAATGTTAAGACCGTGGAAGACTATAGAAGAATGAAAGATTGAACATACCGTTTTTTTCTAAGGCAATAATTACTCTTGAACTAGTGATTAGTAATAACCTCTACTACACGTAAGTTTTTCATCTTAATGCTTCTTTAACTTACTATGATATGGGTGATTTTTAAACAGGCTTTTACAGAACTTGTTTTAGCTATACATAATCCATCGTTTAGCTGGGCTTTCCAGTGGAAATTCAATTCAATAATTATTAATTTAATAGTTGAATTAATGAATCAATTAAAGCTAGACCACCATGGAAATCCTCAATGCACTAGACGATTGTTTCGTCCTAGTATGGGACTCTTCAACAATGCGCATCCACGATCTCACCATTTGGGACTCGAGCCTAGGATCTATCGGTCTCGAGCACGAACGCTTAATTTCTAAACGACTAAGCCGATCGGCATTCAACGGTTTTAACGTCTAACTTCAACCAATCCACGAAATTGAGTTATCGTTCACTATATTATTGTAGATTATGTGGAGAAGGTGAATACATTGCAATAAGATAAAGTAGTATAATTCATCCCATAAAAACAAACTTACAAATATTATAATGTAATTTATATAGGATCATCTTTTAAGTTAGAATAACGACAAATCACAATAAGAAATGTCTATCATAATCACATTTATAAATCTATCGTGAATTTGATTCATTAATTCATTGGAATATAAAAAGTACCATAGTCTAGATAGCTGTTTTTCAATAATAATGATACTTTGTCCTTCAACTAATTATATTCTTATTGAAATGGATCATCTTAACACATTACAGGGATTTGTAAAATCAAATTTCGCATTGATGCGTGATCTAGATGGTAAACCAAGAACACCAAGAGATCCTAGATCAGGGAGGCCACCTTTAAATAATCAAAGACAATATGATGCAAGGTGAGATATATATATACATTTTTTATTGACTATAATTTCATATTCGTAGTATGATATAAATTATTTGAAAATGTGTGTCTTATCCACTTCCAGTGATTCTTCCTGATTTCTTCCTCCACTGGAATCTGGTATGTTCTCTCTTACAGTAGATTGTTGCTGATAGTATCTCTCCAATGAATCCAACGTATTTTACGTGAACTTTATGTTATACTTCAGGAATTCATTTAGTACTTTCAATGCCATGGGTTACTCATTACAATTTAATCGTTTGAAGATCTCAATCATATTAAAAGACTATTATTTGAATGAAGAATTGATTATATATTGAGATTAGGTTACTTTTTTAAAGAATGAAGTAAATATTCTTCTTTCGTCACTTGTATCTGCATGTAATTCATTTCCCAGCACATTAACAATAAGAACGTCAGATACTTTCTAGAAGTATGTTATTGAAGTCAATCTGTAGTAAACATCAAAATTGATCTAATTCTAATTAGTTGATTTTTATTAAGTAGGTCGATCAACCATATCAGTCAGTCAGTCAGTCAGCTACAACGTAGGACTATGCACAAATATGCATCAGTTCAAGTTGCCATACCGCATTAGCACAACAAGATGAACACCGAATTCATAGAAGTGGTTAATTCAGTGGTGGTAATATATAAAAGAAGGACATAGTACAGGAAGAAAGAATTGGTTGGTAGAAAGAAAGATAAGAACCGATTTTAGTCTGAGTTTAATGGAAAACAGGGAGTGTATACATCTCTGCCATTGTGATCGATTCTGAGCTATGTCACACAGACTCTGCAACCATTGGTTATGATGGTAACACGGACCAAAACCGAGTAGTTTGCACCCACCAACATGGCTCAGACTAGATGTTAGTGACTTCAAGAACTGGTGCCACATTTTGGTTTGGCTACCCCTTACTTTCTCCCAAGCAACCTTGACACTAGTCAGCATTGCGCGTCGTGGTAATCGGTCAGACATAAATCGAATAAGCCAGTCAGCATAAACCCGAGTATAAATGAATCCAGTAAAACCTAAGATAATGATCAATATAGTTATCAAAACGAATAATGATAATAATAATAATAACTGATAGATCTGCTTCAATTATCATACTATAATCTCTTATTTTCACATATTTTTGTTTTAAAATCAGGTTCTTACTATCTATATTTTATATTATTATTTCAGTGAAAATACAATCAGAACAATCAATCGTCCATGGGTTACAGCTGCCGGGCAATTTTCAAAACCTTTCTTATCTTTTGTTACACCAGCTATACTGGTGAGTTCTATCTACATATACTCATTCAAATCTTATATCAATTTCATGCCTTAATTCAGTCTCCCAGCTATTTGTCATTAGAAAATTGACTTGTTTACATTGTTCGGCAATATATAGACTTGTTTTAAACATCCCGATATATTCTAACTACTATTAAACTGAGGACTCATTACTAGGTTTGATTAGAATATGAATCTTGATGATACCAATCTAGAATTATCTCACATCTAAGTATAAGATACTATCAAATTACTTGATGATAGGTACATTTTATCAATAAGGATTATTGAGGACATTCTATATTTCCATTTTATCACAAATTTGAAACAATAACCTTCTATACTAGGTAACTATTTTAGTTACACTATACAATTAAAATCATGAATATGTCATGAAAAAATCATTTGAATGAATGATACATCAGTTATTGAGATATTATATGATATAAGGAAGAAGTGTTTTCAATTTAGGATTCATATATTTTTAATACAGGCGGAAGCACGCAAACACTTTAATTGTCCTAATTTGGATGGAGTTGACATAGAGAACGAAGGTGGACAAGGAACAGTTGGTACACACTTCGAAAAGAGAGTAGTTGGTGTAAGTTAAATTAAATTTAATTTTTTTACGAGTAATAAATTTCTCGTTAAAATAGATTCATCAGTCACAATTTGTTTATGATGTTGTCTACATGAACAGTTATAATTTTATTGATAAGAATTATTCGACTGACCAATATGTGTTATGTATAGAATCGATTAATCTAATGTAGCATAACTAGACAATTTGGACTGCGCAGATGACTTAGCTCTTCTAACAAATGCAGGTCAAGACAATCAATATAGTAGCTTTCTCTACAGCAGTAGGCCTCAGCATATAACACCAATCCAATCATATTTGATTGAAAAACTCTAGAATAGGTGAAAACTTTTACCCACCTGAACATCATCATCGATGAACAAGGAGGATCTGATGCAAATGTGAAGGCCAGAATTGACAAAGTAAGATCAGGATTCTTACAACTGAAAAAAGTAAGGCACTCAAACGGATTGTCAGTCAGCATCAGAGTCAGAATCTTCAATACGATCGTGTAGATAGTTCTACTGTTTGGAGCTGAAACTTCCAGAACTACTACAACCATCATGAAAGAGGTATATATATTTATAAATAATTGTCTAGACAACATACTGAGTATTCGTTGACCAGATACCATCAGCAATACCTTACTGTGGGAAAGAACAAACCAGCTTTCATCTGAAGAATAAATAAATAAAATTCGCTAGCGGCGGTTAGGATATACATTTTGGAACTCATCAAGCTGTATCACGAGGCAAGTGTTAACATAGAATCCTTATGGGAAACGAAAACGTGGAAGGCCAAAGAGCACACTGCATCGGGAATGGTAAGCAGATATCAGAAGAACAAATAGCGGTCGGAAACAAATGAAAAACATTTGCGAGAACAGAGTTCGATGTAGGATCGTGGTGGGCAAACTATGCTACTTTACGAGGGCTAGCAGGCGTAAGTTAGTAAGTAATCAACTTATTACACTGCATTCTTCAAAATATGATAAAGTTGATTCATCTACAGTAATCAATAAGTAATTATATAGCGTCCTTTATTTCTCTGAGACTAGTGTTAACTGTTCAGGAATATAAATCATAACTTCAATGTTATGATCTCATAAAATCATTAGGATTAAAGTAAAAGGTATCAAACAATCATACAATGAATTAATTTGCTGCTTATAATATATAAATAGTATGTATATGTTGTATATATTGTAGGATGAAACAATGGCAGGTGTTACTGGAGTGAAAACTGTAATGTCAAGGCTTACATTGGCATTCTTCACAGACTCTGGGTAAATTGATAAAATTCAGAATACAATGTATTATCGAATATTTTATCTGCGCTTTTTGATGATCATACTTATTTTATCTGGATTTTGAACTTGATTATACTTTTCATAAACTAATATAAGGGTTCTGAACAAAGATGGATAGTGGCTAGCAGTTGAAACCAGGAATCACGTTTCGCTCTATTTGGGACTCGTCAGCTGAATTTAAATGCATCTCCTAGTTCATGTTTACTCTGTAACTCGAGCCCAGTACCGTTCGCTTCAAACGCCATCGCATTATCCATTTAGCTACTGAGTCCTGATAGCCACTTGCTTGTGCAGTGGGGTGGTGTTTGAATTATCTTGATATTTTTTTACTTGAATCTTCCAACTGGTGTTTAGGACTGCAATTGATCGGTACTGGGTTCGAATCTCAGAGTGACATGGTAACTCTGAGATGCAGGTACATCCAGCTGATGAGACCCAAATAAGACGAAATGCGCGTCCTGAATTCCACTGCTAGTCACTATCCATACTTGCTTAGAATACTTGTGACCTAAGACAATACACACAGTATCCACATATGCCAACAAGAGACTGATCAATTACAGTCCTAAATATCAACGAGGAAGATTCAAGTCAACTATACAAAGTGAATTCTAATATATGGGTTATGGATTTTACTGTTTCAGTAACTGAAAACATTTCATTTAAATTCATAAATTGTTTGATCTACTTGTATTCATTTCAATATCACTGTAGCTGTGTAATATTCTACAGAAAAATTATTTAAAGCAATTAGTCCCTTTGATATGTTTCGACAGTGCAATATAGAAGACGAAGATTATCAGAACTATGTGATGATATTTTAGCGCACTACATCCTGAACAATCTAAATGAGTGTGTGTGTGTGTAGCCATATATACATAGGGAGGAGGAGTAATCGTCACCTCAAAATCAGAGTGTGTGGACATGTACCTAAATGTTTACGGAAACAAATAAAATCAAATGACCCAATAAGAATATAGGATAAACATTTATCATCCTTTATTGACAAACGCATAATTGAAACAGATCATAGAATACTTGGATTCATGGCGTAATTACTGAATTGGAACATGAATACAGTGTGATCTTGAATGCTGTTAGAGGTATGAGAACAGTTCTTGTTTCCCGGTTGCCCACACTGTGGAAATGTTCTTCTGGGGATACAATAGATAATTGTGTGAATTTTTGAGACTAATAACTTTTTTAGTATGATATGGAAACTATGATTAAGCCTGGGCGGTGTCTGGCTCTCCTGTTAAACAGGATTGAGGTGTACTGTTTGGGTTATCATATGGAAGTCTGGATGGTGTCTGGTTCTCCTGAAAACCAATGTAAATTATATAACTATAACTATAGAAACTATGATCCAATTAGATAGTGGATATCAGTTATTCTGAATGTATGAAAAATAATAATTTCATTATTTCATGTTTTTTTCTTCCATTCAATTCATTTAGCTGGTGGGATGTTGACTATTCATTGGCTGAAGCATGGTATTATGGAAAGAATTTAGGTTGTAGCTTTGTTATGGAAAGCTGTTATGCATACATGATGCGAATGAAACAAGCGTAAGATCGATTGGTTTTATTTCCTTGTATTTTATTATTGATCAGTTGTTACTATGTGATTTGTTATACATAATAATGGTTATTGAAACGGTTATCCGGTTGCCAATAATCTTTGAATGAATCTCTAACATAATGTTTCTTATTTTAGAGGAAAAAGTACGGAACCCTACTGTGATGAACCAGATACTTTAAAATGTTATCATCAAAAAGCATTTGGTATTTGTTCTGTTGGACGGTTTACTCAAAGTTTACCACCTAATGAACAATATTTCAAAGATCCTTCTCAAGGAGGGTCTAGTGTATTAACAGACAGATGTCCTATGATTCAGGTTAGTACCTTGTTGATTTTATGATGAGACTATAAATTATAGACGATATTTAAGTGATGCCAATGTAACCTTGCGAGTGTCTATCTAGTTACTAAGGCTAAATGATTCACAGTTGATGATTAGGGTAAGGAATCACAATGAAGGTTTTTCATCATGAACTGACATCAGCTAAAATGCCAAAACACTATTTGGCCAAATAGGTGAGTGAATCAAACACCCATTATCCTAAATCTGATTGGATCGTCCATAAATTATAGTCTCACCAATTTCGTCCCTAAAATATCTATAATGCTCTTGTCCGTGATCTCCTCTTGTCTAATCTGATTGAAATCATTCATTTGGTCTACATTTTATAAAATATGTAAGGTTTAAAGGAAACTTTTCATATCATTTGACAAACGGTATAGGAAGAATATACACTTATTTGAATCTTAGTTTCTACACCTTGATGTTTCAGTAGTATTGTTGACTGTTTATATATTTAATAGTTGAATTCATGAGTCATTTGAAGGTAGACCACCATAGAAACTGGAAGCATTAGATATCTGTTTAGTCCTAGTATGGGACTCCTCAGTAGTGCACATCCACGATCCCACCTCGTGAGATTCGAACTCAGGGCCCATATATCTCGCGTGCGAGACATTTGTACATTGCAAATTTTCAATACATTACTTTGTTCTATACGTTTGACATATACTAATCTTTACATAGGGATTGAATATTTCTGAAATGTAAGCATTTTGTACAAATCAGTCAAGTACGCTCACTAATGACTATCCTTGATAGGTATTTCCCGGAGTTCTAGTGAGAAGCATTGATCAGTGGAGTTCACTTGGGTCTGTTGTGGGATAGTAACTCACTGAAGACAATAGTGTATGTGTTGCTCAATTTCGTGGATTAGTTGAAGTTAGACATTAACGCCATTGGATACTGGCCGGCTAAGCGTTCGTGCGCGAGATCAATATGTTGTGGGTTAAAGACTCTTGAAGCCGGATCGTGGATGCGCATTGCTGAGCAGTCTCACAATAGGATGGGTTAGCTTTCCAGTGCTTCCAAATTTTTCATGGTGGTCTAGCTATAATTGACTTATGATCTCATCTATTAAATTACTAAAATCTCCACAAAACCCCTTCTGATATTATAAAATCTTCAAGTTTAAGCTACATAACCGTATTATTTCTGGAATTACATTGGCCTATCCATCACCACCTTGTAATAGGATAAAATATATATCTAGTTCTTTTTAGTTTTTACTGGTTATCTAATTTGGTTTATTCATAATCTCAATAATAAAATTGTTTTCGGATTATTGTATGGCTTAACGTCAATCACAATGATCGAGTGGAAACAAACTGATAGTTTATTTTCATCACAAAATAATCTCAGTAGGCGTATTAGTGAAAATTAGTAGGTATAAAATAACTGATTCATTCTAGTATGAAACTCCGCAGCATTGTACAATGAGGTTGAAATTGTAACGCTGAACCTCCGCCCAGTAGTTCTAATAGTTAAACATTCTTCTTAAAGTCCAAAAATCCTCTTTTCAATTTATGTTGATTTAGTGTTAGTCTACTCCACTGAAATTCCATACTAAAAAGAGACATCTGAGTAACGTTCCTTGGTCTTTAAGTTTACTCTAACTGAGAAAAATGTATGATGAATAGAACTCCCTAATTCAACAAACATCCAGTAAATCCCTTCAAAGAAACCAATTTATTAGTTGAATGATAAGATTCATCCTATAGTTAGTAAGATCAGATTGCTATAGTTACTGTTTATTCAAGTGTATATTGAATTGTATTCTGAAACAAACTTTGTGGAATCAATCTGTTGAAGCACTTTCATACTTTTTCTTTTGTCCTTTAAAAAAACAGCCTATGCGATCCTTTTTCAATGAACCAATTGTAACATACTGTGATCATCAACTTAATATTCCTGTCGGTAAGTAATTAGGTAACTTTCAGATTTTTAATGAAAACCAGTAGTTAATTACTGACTATTCAAATAGAACTAATTCTAGTTATCGATAGTATTTATCAAGAATATATTCAGAATAAAAGATTCATATGACAAAATAGATGTAACATTTCATTGAATATAAAAATAAATTAACTAGTAATTTAGCCTGAGTAAAACTTTTAAAGAACATTTACATCACCCGTTTCGATTTATTTATTGAAATACATAAACATTAGTACAAAGGGGCATCGAATAGATATGCGCTAAATATATTATTCGATTTATGTGAGGGCTAGGATACTGTCCGGGTGCCCAAACCGAAGCAGGTGATTTCCTTAGGTGGCCACAACCGGAGCCTCTGATGTAAAGGCCTGATCCACAGGACAGTGGAGGAACGTAAGGAGATGCAGTCTCATGGTAGTCGGTGATCAGTAATTGGTTCATACGCCATGTTTCCTTAGGATCATGGAGAGCATGTGCACTATCTGTTTGGAGTCAAGGTTTTTCAACTCTCCTAGGTGAACTCTCCGTGTTCATTAACCCGGTTAAAGTGCCGCATATTCTCTTTTTGTCCTCTCAATTTCGTAAACAACACCGGTGGCGCGAGAAGGCATTGAGTAGGACTTCCTTGGCAGTGGCTGTATACGTACAGCTATGTGAGAGCATTTGGCGAGGGATAGTTGGCTCTCCACACTCTTGGCCGTACCAGGGCACTTGGGGGCTACCATTTTGATATAAGGTTCAATAGTGATAAGTCTTCTAATTGAACATTAGATTCGGTTCATAAGCTCTTCTAGTAATCCTCAAGCTAAGTCTACACAACGACTTGAACACGTGAGAAAAGATGCGAAATACGAGAGAAACGTTTTATGTACAGAAAATCTAGGGTATTTATAGCATTTTAGACTATCTCAATTTTCCGGAAACTTCTAGAATGTTACTAAACAAATCAGTATAGGTAATCATCTAAACGGAAACGCTGCACGTGATTAATAACTTTCTATATGTTACTAGTAAACGTTCTATTGAATGTTGATTGGATAAGATGATACTTAATGTTTTCAGGCTGCAGCCTCAGCAGCAGTAGGTCTCAACATACACAAAGGGAAAAGCAAGATTCTCCGATACAACACAGCATGCACCAATCCAGTCACAATTGACGAAGAAGATTTGGAAGATGTAAACACCTTTACATATTTGGGCAGCTTCATTGATGAAAACGGTGGATCTGATGCAGATGTGAAGGCGCAGCATATTTACAACTTCGAAACACCTGGAACTCAAAGCAACTGTCAACCAACACCAAGGTCAGGATTTTCAATACAAATATCAAGACAGTTCCACTGTATGGGGCGGAAACTTGGATAACTACGAAACAATCATCCAGAAGATACAGGTGTTTATTAACTGTTGTTTACGCAACATACTTCGGATCCGTTGGCCGGACACTATTAGCAACAACATACTGTGGTAGAGAACAAACCAGATCTCAGCGGAGGAAGAAATTAGGAAGAAGCGCTGGAAGTGGATAGGACACACATTGAGGAAGTCACAAAATCGCGTCTTAAGGCAATTTCTCACTTGAACTTTTCAAGGTCGAAGAAAAAGAGGAAGACCAAAGAACACATTTCGCTGGGAAATGGAGATAGATATGAGAAAAGTGAACAAGAATTTGATGGAATTAGAAAAGAAGGCATAGGACAGAGTGGGTTGGGGAATGCTTGTCGGCGGCCTATAATCTCTTGGGAGTGACAGGCGTAAGTAAGTAAGTAAGTAGTGTTTTCAGAGCCTATTTTACAAGGAATTTTCTGGACACAACTGTAACACCATTGAAATCTCTATCCATTGTAGTAATTTAACATATTCAAAAGACAAGTTCATCTATAGCGTAAATCCTAGAACATATCACATACATTGTTAATGAATAAATAAATTTTACAATTTCTATTTTGGTAGCTCAAAAAGGAAATATGTTTGCTCAATATTTTGGAAATAATTCATTATGTATTATGCATAAAGGTGCATGGAGAGCTGAAATGAATGGAAGAGCAACAAATGATCCTCGAGTTAAAGCCACTTGCCATCAGGTAATCATATGACAAGTATATTATATATTATTACATAACAATCTGAATATTCAACTTTCTTTTCATAATCATATATGTAAGCATTTTATGAATATATATTAAAGGATAAATAATCTATATTAGTCATCACATATCAATGATTACGTCATTTCAAATTAGATTTGTTGATACATTCTCGCAGATAGTAACCATGGCAATTATCATTTATACTTTCAAAGAATGATAATAAGATTTAGAACAAAACAGTGAATAATATTTAATTAATTTTAATAGTTCAAATCATGATTCAATTGAAACTAGATCACCATGGAAAATCTGAAAGCACTGGACTGTATTTCCTGGAGTTCTAGTGTAAAGTACAGATAGTAACTAACCGGAGACAATGGTGGATGTGTCGCTCTATTTACTGGATTAGCTGAAGTTAAACATTAACTCTGTTGGATGCTGGCCGACTCAGTTGTGTAGAGGTTAAGCGTTCGCATACGAGACTGATAGGTCCTGGATTGGAATCTTGCTAGGCGGGATCGTGGATGCGCTCTGCTGAGGAATTCCACAATAGGACCACTTGACCCTACAGTACTTCCAGATTTCCCATGTTGGTCTAAATTCAAATGACTCATAATATCAACTATTGAAATAAATAGTGTTTCAACATAAACGTCAATGGCAACACTAGTTGTAAATTGTTTAACTACTTATATCATTGTGAATTGTTGCTTAGATCGATGTGTTTACTTCCTTATTGATCACTAATATTTCTTCTTATTTATTCATTTCAGTATTCATGCTCTGGTGGTCTACAAGTGATTATTAATGGTAAACCATTCCCATGTAATTCAGGGGTAGCTACAGTTCAAACTAATCAAATTCAAGGCCAAATTGTCTGCCCTGATCCTAATACTGTTTGTAGGGTAAATCAGTAAAACAATAATAATATTTGATCCTATTTTTTCATTTATATTTCATTATTAGACTAATGTATCATGAATAATAACCTTAGAACTATTTTTTATATTATGTTACTGCTAAGAAGTGCGTATCCACGATCCTGACCCGTGAGATTCAAACCTGAAACCTACCAGTTTTGCACGCAATCGTTTAACCTTTAGACCACTGAGCTGGCATTCAATCGTGTTAATGTGGATACACACCGCTGAGAAGTCCCAATATAGAATGAATCAGTCATCCAGTGCTTCTAGATTTTCAGTATTGGTCCAGCTTCAATTGGATCATGATCTCAACTATTGAAATTACTATAATATCCACACGAAACCCCTATTGACATTTTTTATGTGTTCAGACGTCACTAATGTCATAAGTCCTTAAATTCATCAAAAACCTGTGCGATCTGATTGTTCACTTAAGTTAACCGTTCAGTTAATCAACTAACAGGGGATAGAAGTGATATGAAAACAGCCTTTTAAACGTTGTATAGAAATTGTCAGGAATGATTTCTCAAGTTTATTGAAGCCATGGATATTTGCAAATTTAACCCTCCCCCCCCCTTATATGTACGAAAACAATGTATGATAACCTTAAATTTAACTTGATAATCCTTAAGTCATTTCATGGTCTAGGATAATGAGATAATTTCTCATTCTTTCTATACGGTGTAATTTTTTTCTCCCTCTCCTTTATCTCCTTGTTTACATGAACTTTCATTTAAATGATCCGTATTAATCTTTTTATAAAATGCCCTGAAAAGTATATCTATCTATAAGAGAGTTTTTTTAACGAGCTAGGTTTCTGTGGGATGAGATCACTAACCCTATGCTCAACCCTTCTCCTTAATCCGGGATTAGGACCGGCAGTATCCCCAGAGGGGATCCAGGAGGAGTTACTGTGACAGCGTACTTACCAACAATTCAACATCTGTATGAGGTTGTGAAGATTGTTAAGCTTTTGATTAAGATCATGAATCGATTGATGCTAATTCACCATTGAAAACCTGTAAGCACTGGACAGCCCTTTCGTCCTCAGCAGTGCGCATCCATGGTCCCGCCCCGCGAGATTCGAACCCAGGACCTTCGGTCTCGTGTGCGAACGCTTATTATCTCACATTCATTACTACAGAGTCACATCTTATATTAGATAGCATTTCATCATATTACATGTATCTATAATAAACAGTATTTATGTGTAATTTACACAAGATACTAATTTAATCCATTCGTCTATATTTAATATAACAATTCAGATCCAGGAATTGTCTCGCGAGGCGGGATCGTGGATGCATACTGTTGATGAGTCCCACAATAGAACGAAACGGTCATTCAATGCTTCTAAGTTTTCAATAGTAATCTAGCTTCAATCGACTCAAAATGTTAATAATAACAACAATTATTTTTACTAGTTTACAATTAGTCTTAGAAATCAAAACATTAAAACTACAGATATTTTAACGTTATTTATTCATTAATTGTGTTTCATCATTCTCTTCTTTGTTATTTCTTTTACAGAATAGGCGTAGATCAATCAAGCAATGAACAATACACTTTTTATTACCATAAACCAACATTAACTATGAGTTTCTTTTTTTAATCTATCTCTTATTAAATATGAAGTTCCTTTATTGTTTTTCTTTTATTATTGTTGTTGTTGCTGGATGATTGTTTGAACAGCATGTATCAGTATGGAGTAGTGAATAAATGTTAATTACTATCAATGGTGTTTTGATAATTTCAATGGTCATATTTACTAAAGACTTTATATGAAAATGTTATAGAGACCGTTTTTTTTTTTAAATTCAAGTACACCTAAAACATTATGGTTTTAAGAGTGAAGGATGGTATTGTGGTATTGTAGTGAACGAGAACACTGGTGGGGACAAACGTATGTATTTACTACAACAATTACAGTCTATCTCAACAAAATCTGAATACCATATATTCAATCGTCAATTTGCAAAATATTCACGCATCAAACCAAACTGAATTGTTTCTGTTGCAAACACCAATCCATTGTCTCCCATTCCATTGTTCATAGGTTTTCTTACAAATTCCATTATGTTCTCGCTCCACCTTTCGTGGTCTTCGCCATCTTTTGCTGCCGGACATTACGTTCTTTTACCGCACGTTGTATACTACTTATATCAATATAAGTAGCTCACACCACAGTATAAGTTACTTATATTCACATCAGTAGTATACAACGATAGTCAGGAATATAAAGTATTTCAGTAGAAGATTGAGAAGGAAAGAATGAGAACAGAAAGCGATTAGTATGAAAATGCAGAAACAATAAAATCTCTTACTATGGACTGATATTTGCCAAAGGAACAGTCAAGTTTGAGACAATGGATTGATATTTTGTAGATGAAGTATTTATTGTATGGTTCTCAGATTTTAGCAAGGTGTTCTGTAATTTTGTGTATGAATATATTTGATTGCTCCCACACGTGTTCCTGTTCATTATAGTATGTCAGTTATATTGATTAGGTTGACATTTGGTAAGTACATGTATAGATCCTAGGTTCAAATCCCGCGAGGTGGGATCGTGGATGCACACTACTGAGGAAGTCCACAATAGGACAAGTTGGCTATGCAGTGCCTCCAGGTCTTCAACGGTTGTCTAACATCAATCAATTCAAGATCTCAATCAAGAAATAAGAAACAGGAACTTCTTGAAATAATTTATGCTAAGAATTCTATTTTGTACAATCAGTGACCATAATAACCGCTATATTTCTAACCCTTTACATTGTATGACCGATATCTTCAGTTATACTTTGTTGAACAATCGTTAGCATAGAGATATCACACTAACATTATCACTTTAATGTAAGGGATGATGTGAAGCAACTTTAGAAAATTTATAATAAAACACTAATGAAATGAATAACACTTTTCAAACGGGAATATTTCTTTTAAGGGTGTGAAATTTATGTTAAAACGTCCTACTCTTAACCATCCACCTATACCCTTTTCCCAACAATCTAAAACGCCATTTTACTCGTCCAATGAAGTACTCATGATCGGATCCATATAGGTATTGTATTTGGTTCAGCAATATTAGTTTTAGTCAGCGTTGTTTCTAGCCATGTCTTTCTCAAATAATAAAGCTGAAATAATTTTCAGATAGTTGTTTCTTGGTGTAGGATTTTCGATGAAAGCACAATTCTTGAGACAACTGAGAGCTTATGAGAAGTTGATTTGCTGCCGTTTCATGGTACGAGGCAGTCAAAGAAATACACATGATTTTTACATATAATAAGTATGCATAAGAAAAGGTGAACCTTAGCAACCAACAACAGCTCAAGAGAAATAAAAGATTGTTTCAAGATAAGTTCTTTATTCATTGGTCTAGTAGTTGTGAATCATTTTGTTGTCATTAATTTTGTGTATGAAACTTTCGGAAATAGAATAATCGATACGCTAAAACGTTTATTTCAACGATCTAATGAAACGTTACTGATAATCCCTTGAGAAATTGCTTTTCAAATAATAAAAGTCATGAAATTTCCACATTCAGTTAGAATTAAATTTCCCCCATATATTCACACTAATCTGATCATTCATAGAATTGGTTCGTCATCAAATCGATAGTTATTTTACGGTAAAAAAGTGTAGCCCTGAACTAGTCGCACATATATTTCAATAAAACTTAGAGTAATCACCATTTCTGTAGTATTTACGGTCATACAATCAAAATGTATTGCTGGGGGTGCAGAAAAATGACCATCGTCAACCCAAAATTATTCTGGAAAAGTTACACTACTTGTTAAAATATAAGTAGTTTGATAGGTTTGTCAAGTTTTAGATGTCAATATGGCTACACTTGATCAATCAAGTGATCATCTATGTGATCAGAAGAGAACAAACAAAAAAGGAAACCAGAAAAACTTAGCAGAGTGAATTGGAGCTCATATAAGAGAGTACAATTATTTTAATAGATTCGATAATCGTATACACAATATTTCGAATACTAATGATTACAAGACAGAATTTAGTGAGTCAGTATAACTTAATTAGGGTTTTTAGGTAGAACTAAATGACCTAATAAGAGTAGAGGATAAACATCTATCATCCCCTATTGCTAAAAATGTAATTGAAACAGGTCATAAGATTGATCTTAACTCGGCTTTTGTGGTGTTGTACAAAAGTGTAAAAGGGCGTATACTAAGGTTTATAGAAGCCTTAGCCATACGAAAATCCAAACTCCCTTTGTGCAATCAAAAACAGTTTGTTCTCTAATTAAACCTACCCTGGTAATATTAGCTAATTATCCAAATTGTTTTCACACTACTTCTATATCATCCTTGTCTCCTCCTGCCCTCCATTTCTAGTCTAGACTAATTCTTACCAAGTATAGAATGTGTAATCAGATTGTTCGAAAAATATTGCACTAATATATCATCACATAGTTCTGATAATCTTTGTCTTCTTATAAAACTATCAAAATTTATCAAAGGGACGAACTGCTTTAGATTTTTAGGTAGAATTGCTACGATATTTGAATACAGTTCAAAATTCCACCATGATAGTTAGTTCATATATTTTATAATTATTATTTGAGTTAAGGAAGATCGGCCATCATATTCAAACTGTTGTGCACATTTTGGCTTGCAGCGTCAAATATAAACCATGAATATTTGCTTACACTGTGTGTGAATAAGAATTCTATGATTTTTAAAGTACTAATGAGTGATGATATGACCCCACTATGGAATAATTCAGTTCAGAATAGTTGTTTTCCTTCAGAAAATAACATGATAATAGTTATATATTTGTAAATCAGTAATGTCAATTCGTATGAAGATTTTAGTTAGATGAACTTGCATACTTTCGAAGGATAACATTATAAACATTAAATATAACTCCTCCTGGAGCACCTCTGAGGCTACTGCCGGTCCTAAGCCCGGATAAAGTAGGAGTGTTGAGCATTGAGTTAGCGACCCCATCCCGTAGAAAACTAACTCGCTAATAAACAAGAGCAAGAGCAGCATATTTACGACTGGAAGACATCTGAAACTAAAAAAACTGTCAATCAACACCAGAGTTGGGATTTTCAATACAAATGTCAACACAGTTCTAATGAATGGGTGGAAACTAGGAGAACTACGAAACCCATCATCTAGAAGACATAAGTGTTTATTAACAATTGTCTACGCAAAAAACTTCGGATCCATTGGCAAGACACTATCAGCAACAACCCACTATGGGAGAGAACAAACAATATTTTAGCGAAGGAAGAAATCAGAAAGAAGTGCTGTAGGTGGATAGGTCACACATTGAGGAAAGCAGCCAACTGGGTCACATGGCAAGCACTCACTTGGAATCCTCAAGGTTAATGGAGAAGTCGACATGAGAATTGTGAACAACAATTGGATAGAAGTATAAAGGAAGGCCGAGGACCGAGTGAGTTGGAGAGTGCTGGTCGGCGGCCTATACTTCATTGGTGGTAACAGGAGTAAGTAAGTAATTAAAGAGCCTTTGGTTGACGGAAGCTGAAAGAGATCATGTCAATACAAAAACGTTTCAATACCAAGTCTAGTGATAAAATGTTTGAAGAATATAAACCAAATTACAAATGAAATGTAATTCAATGAAAACTAACTAAATGAAACCATAGATTATTAATAAATCATTATCATGACCTTAAAAACTTTTAATTACATCTCAAGCTAATCCGTGTCGGGTAGAAACAGGTATATATCTAAGTACAATGGAAGATGGTCGCATAATTTCGTTGGATTGGTTAGGGTTAGACATTGATACCGTTGGATGCCGACTGGCTCAGTGGTCTGGAGGTTAAGCATTCGTGCGCCACACCGAAAACTCTATGTTCGAATCCCGCGAGCGGGATCGTGGGTGCCCACTCCTGAAAAGGCCTTTCAGTGCTTCCAGGTTTTCAATGATGATCCAGCATCTATCAGTTCATGATCTCAATCAAAAAAGCATAGAACTACAGAGTCGAATTACTTCAGCTGAAAAGAGTTAATACATTTCAAGCAATGATCGACTTATAACATGTGCTTCTAGTAGATATATATGATCTTAAAATACTTAGTGGAGAAAACATTAATTAGACATAATTATCGTCTAAATATTAAAGATGAAGTTTAGCTAAGGTTCCTCTATTTAACGAATTTATTTTTAACTTTTATATGTTTATTCACTATTCATATAACCTTGGAGAAAATCACAAATCAAACTCAAGGGGATATGAGAAAAAATTAGAGAGGGGAGCTAAGTGGATAATGCAATGGCGTTTGAAACTAAAGGTACTGGTTTCGAGTCCTGGAGTGAATATCAACTTGGGTGCAGGTACACCTAGCCGACGAGTATCGAATAGGATGGAACGCGTGTCCTGAATCCCACTATTAGCCACTACTCATCTTTGCTTATAAAACTTGTGACTTAAGTCAATATCGGGTCAATCCGCACAGTATGCACATATGCCAATAAGAGATTGATCAATTGCATTGCTAAACATCAATCGGAAGATTCAAACAACCAGTACATAAGCTTAGTGGCTATCACAATTT